TATATATACTATATGACATCTGATCAAACAGATGCAAACATTTTATACTGAGTTACTAACAGTCAATTGTTTTATCAAGAACATCTTCAAAAAGTGTTTCCCTGGAGAACTGGCCTTGGGGGCGGGGCTTATGAAAACAGAAGAATCAACAGCAGCAGCTTTGTTTTAAATACAATTTACAGAACATGAAAAAGTCTGAAATTTGCATTAATTAAATCTTATATAGTGACTCTCATATCTAAAGATACATTTAAGATATTTTGAACTGGAGTCTCCAAACAACATGATGATAAATCTAATGTTATTTATACAAGTCAGAATATAATCAGAGATATCTTAAATAGGTATTTTGAATTGTCAAAATCTATTAAGAGATGTTTATTTATTTGTTTCATTCTTTCATTCATAAAAACAAAACCATCTATGTACTGTTCTGATTCTGTCACTGTCTGCCCTGATCTAGTCCCAGTTTAGTTTAATTATTTCATCTCATATCCCAGTTTACCTTCTTAGTCTTGTTCCCAGCCTTTCTGTTTCTTTCAGCTCCTGTTGAGGCAGTAGCAGTAACGATTAGAACAAAAGGTCAGAATAGGGGGTCACGAAAACATCTTGTATAATATCCTGGAAAAGATTACATAATCATTGGTCCACAAAAACACTTCATGAGTGTATATGGGGTAGTGTTGAATTTCAAGCCCAGTTCTGGGAAATAGCCCACCCTTTTCCTGGCAAACATAACTTGGTATAAAAGGTTATGGTTTTCTAACTGCGTCAGTTCAGTTTGGAAGGTCTGATCTGTGGGTTGAAGCTTGTTACTGACGGAACTCAATTAAAACTCCCTCTGGCTGGCCAAGAATCGATGTCTCCTCTTTATTTTTTATCTTGATAAGTGGATCTTTTCGCCACTACAATTTGGCGCCCAACGTGTGTGGGAAACTGGCCTGCTGCTCTCCTCGGCTGAGAGGGGGAAAAGGAGTCGAGGGCCCAGAGGTAATTAAATATTTTCTAATTTAAAAAGTGATTCCTCTCCCCTCTCAGCTGGGGGATGCTCAAGCTGGGCCAGGCTCATGAACCTGGGAGAATATTTTTTGCCAGTTAGAGGAGTTACTAAAAACATGCATGTTTTGGGAGCTGTTCAAAAATATATATAAACAAAATTAAAATTAAGAGGTAAAAGACAGACAGAATTCAAATTGGACATAACAGCTTTTGTTGTCGACAGTAAAAAAGCCGTTAGTTTCGGTGTCTGGGTGCTGGAGAAATGCAGCAGACGTAAGGTAAAAGCTGTTATCCGGAAACAGTGTCTGTGTGTGTCGAGAAAACAGCAGACGTAAGGAAAATATGTATTTTGTATGCTAAATTAGACCCCAAAATGATCAAGTTAAAAGCTGCAGCATAATCAAATTAACTTCATTAAAACTAAAATATTTGTTCTGTTTAAAAAGAGAGACTCCTGCTCAGAAAGGCAACTGGTGAAGCTGCTGACCGAGTGGAGTTTTCCTTTTTTCTTGTGTGCTGAGAACCTTTTGTTTTTCTGGTCGGCTGTTTATCAGACAGGAAACAGCTGTTCCTGTGAAGAAAGACACGCACACACATTTACATTTACATTTAGTTAAAAGCATACGTCTTTAAAAAAATAGTGACAAGCTTGTGTAAAAAGATCTAAAAAAGATCTAAAAAAGGCCTGGATAAAAGAAAAGAAAAACTGCACAGAGGAAAATCTTTGTTATATATTTGTA